GTTTTCATACTTTCTCTAGAAAGGTCATGCTAATCTCTGTTCTGATCTGCAGTGCATGAAAGAGACACTACCTGTACTTTACTTTCTTCTTCTTAAATTGTAATCCGTCTTCAGTTTGTGACTGAGGGTTTTTAATAAACTCCACTCTGAAGTATCATCCATCCGTACCTCGTTTCAACTTCACAGAGTCATGCTTTCATGGTCATTCATTTTTTGTGGACTTACAAAAAGCATATAACACATAAAATCCATTGATATTAACTTAGAAGCTAAATATACATATTGTATTGTAAATGTGTTTATTTATTTAAAATACCTAAGAATTAGTCTCCTTTAGGCTAGGTTTTATAGCACACCAATGCCAGCTCTCAAATATGTTGCCCAGTCTGGATCTCTCTGCTCTGCAATGCAGGACTGAAAATTGAACTCCATGTGTAGACTACCAAAATAATTTCATTGGTTTGCAAGCACCAACAGCTAAAGAAAAGGCAGGATATTTTACAAGAGGGAAATGATGGAAATGAGTATATTAATATGGGGAGGGTGTGGTTGCAAATCCCCTAGACTATGGACATTTGTATTCTTCATTCATGACCAGGACTACTTTTTACATCAGGGGTCAGCAAATGATAAACCATGGGCAGAATCTACCCAATGCCCTGACTTCATAAGTTGATGTTTTATTGGAGTACAATCTTAGCTTTTATTCATGTATTTTCTAGGGCTGCTTTCTCACCCCAAACGACTTGAGTATTTTTAAGCAGACCTTGTTCACAAAACCTAAAGTATTTATTGTTCAGCCTTTCACTGAAAACCTTACTGACTGCCAATTCATATTCCCCACTGGGTATCCAAGGCCCTTTCACTAAGGATCACTCTATCCTCCTTAGTATCCTGTGAAAGAGCAAGCATTGCTCTTCTCTCAGCATGGACAGGTGTACATGAATCTCTTCAGAGTTAAACAACTGCCCAAGCTCGGTTTCTGTGAGAAGCAGCTGAAGTTTACAGTTAGATTTTTACACCCAAACGTGGAATTTCTTTCTTTCTGTACATAAAGGCCATATACTATCCTCCTTCTTTCATCTTTCCTTACCAGCTTTCCATGTGTATCATCTCCTTCCAAATCTTTCTCATAGAATTTTTTCTATGGTAACTCAAATATGGAAGTGACACCGATGCATTCAGGTAGATCCTATACATAGCTATGCATACAGAAACGTAAACATATGGATCGCCTATTGTAGTTAATTTGAGTTACAGATATATGAAGAGTTGATACTACTAAAAAGGATATCAATCTTTCTTCAGAAAGTCAATCTTTCTTCAGTGATTCAATAACTTAAATCATTTTTGGAAATACCTGAGAGTCATCACGTAAAAATATAGTTAAGTCCTTGATTTCTGAATGAATTCCATTCCAGGAGGACATTTGCAAGTCAGATTCATTCATAATCAGACAGGTTGAATCTTATAGAGTACACCTGTAAATATTACACAATACACCTATGAAAGTTCACAGCTTGAATATTCATAAGCTGGGAACTTCCTGTATTCCCTTAGAGTGGCCAAGAATTTTTTTTTTCTATTTTAAAGATAAAAGGAGGGAAACATTAACAGACATACAACATTTTACAACATATCACAAGCACAATACAGACAATACAGAGTTACAAACAAAGTGGTAGGGAATTAACAATGGTGGTTGTATTACATATTGATATCTTCAAAGTGGCTTCTCATAAAAACAGATATAGACATGCAATACTGGTCAACCAAAGACTCATTGACAGTTTCTTTCAGCATAGAAATAGAAGACAGAAGAACAACCATGTTAACTATCCTGTGTATACATACATATAAAATTTCTCCTTCTTTCCCTTCTCTTTTCCAACATCCCAGAAGCCCTTTACTCTTCAGTGGTTTCCTATCATTTCACAGTGTCTATCATACCTCCGAGTTTAAATTAACTCTTTCAAGTTTTACACTAGTGACACAATGTGGTGCTTGCACATGTATGTTTGATTTATTTCACTTATGAGTATGGTCTCTAGTTGTGACCATTTAAATATAAAGGCCTCAAGTTTATCTTTCTTTATAGCTGAGTAATATTCCATTCTATAAAAGTACTACAATTTTCTTATCCAATTCTCGGTGGATGGACATTTGGGTTGCTTCCACATTTTAGCAATTACAAATTGTGCTGCTGTGAACATAGGTGCACATATATCACTGTGATATGATGTTTTTAGATCTTCTGGGAAAATACCCAGCAGGGGGATAGCTGGGTTGAATGGGACCTCTAGACCTAGTTTTTGGAGGAATCTCCAAACTGATTTCCACAGTGGTTTCACCAGTCTGCATTCCCACCAGCAGTGGAGAAGGGTTCCTATTTCTCCACAGCCTCGCCAGCATTTGTTATTGGTTGATTTCTTAATGCTAGCCATTCTTACTGGGGTAAGGTGGAATCTTAGTGTTGTTTTAATTTGCATTTCTCGAATGACTAATGATGTTGAACATTTTCTCATATATTTATTTGCCATTTGTATCTCCTTGTCTGAGAAATGTGTATTCATCTCAGCTGCCCATTTTTGGATTGGGTCTTTGAATTTGGAGGGGCTGAAATTTTTTAATTCTTTATATGTTCTAGATAAAGAGTGGCCCAGAATTATAAGAGGGGGAGATTATTCTGAAACCTCAATAAATTAGCAATAGCCCTTAAAAGTGACCTTTTAAAAGGCAAAAAAATTCCCTATTGCAAGTTTATTAATATTTCACTTTGTTTTCTCTCATACAACTGCAGAAAAGGAAAAAGAATGTAGGTATTTGAGCATTTAAGTTGTCAGACTTGATAAATAAGAATGTTTCCTGGAGATTTCATCATCAACACCTAAACTATAAGTCCCATGCAAAACGTGGAGACACACACACAAATAATACATGCACATGTCAACCAATTTTTTAAACCTCACTATTAAATTTGAACCTCATGTTAGGTATGGGGGATTAAGCTAAAGATCATATTTACTTTAGCAAACTATTTTTTAAAAAACACCCTAATACAAAGTTTGTTTCTGACCAGCTCCCTCCTTAATCCCATAGCACCTGCCAGGAAACATCCAATAACCCATTCTTTAGGTCAGAGAAAAAACATACAAAAGAGAAAGCCGGGCTGGAATGACTCATGTTACAAGCCAGCTGCTTTCCAGAATCCGTTAAGCTTTAGGGTCCAGATCTCTTTTTGTGGCTTTCTACAGACTTTATTTGAACAGAGAAATTACGACAGCACTGCCCACATAAAAGCCAAGGAGAGAAGCTGGCTAGGGTAGAGACGATGCCCCCAATACTACTATACTTTAAAATAAAATGGTAATTAGCAAGAATTCTTTTTCTGTTTCATGGTCATAAATGCTTTTCTGATCCCACTCACTGCTGAGATGATGAAACTTCTCTGCGATGGACTCCATTTGACGATCAGCAGAGCACTTTTCCATGGGCAATGGCTCTGGAGGACGCTGAGACCTCAGCTGGCACTTTTGATTGATGTAGGTTTATCCTTTACCTTCCTCTGCTTCTTTTGACCAGTGTCAAGCTGTGTTAGGTTCTCCTTTCCTACTTCAGCCCACTGAGGGTTCAGTCCACATTGTCCAGGATATAGTAACATGCTCATTAACAGCAAAGAGCAGTGCCTGGTCCAAGGAGGGAAGGGTGCCGTCATCCCAAGTGACAACTCCCATGTATTAGAGTGGCATCGATGCCTCAGCTCATGGCTGCCACGATGCCTCAGAGCCAGGGCCCGAAGAGGCATCTCCATGGGAAAGGTGGTAGGGTCCTCTGGGCGTGTGTAGGATGGGCTCGGGGTTGGATAAAGGCTTGACAAGATGAAATGTCAATTCCATTCCTGGGCTTCTTGAAGGCCTGAGATCACTGCTTATGTAGGACTCAAATGCCCTACATGGGAGGGTATGACTGGCCATCTTTTACATTTCTCCTGAAAAGTCATTTAACAAATTTAATTAACCTTAATTCTCTATCACGTAGAGTTCCTGCAGCTGGGAATAAAACCTCCAAGCTACAACCAGAGATACACATTTTCGCCACTAACAAAGGATGTGCCTTCTGTGACATGCAGTCCTAAGGCACATAGCTCATGGTTCATCGGTGCTTTGGGCTTCTGCTTATTTAAACATCAAGATAGAAGAGCTGATGAATAGAAATTTGATTAGCATTAAATTCCCGGTGGTGGTTGTTACTACCCTAAATCTATGATATTGAGGTTTTATTTTTAAATAATTCTCCTAAAGTTTATGGTATAATAATGCTTTGCTCTTCATGTAAATATAGGGGGAAAACACCTTGAAACCAGAACATACAGTATGGCTTTTGTATGCCCTGATGCCAGAGATGAAATAGAATCCCACTCAATAGCAACGAACAGTATTTGGCTGTCACAGACTTCAGTGCTTTCTCTGTACAAACCTAACATGAGACCTCATTGTCAGCATCATCCCTTTTAATAGCTTGGGGTAAACACTCAGGATAGACTTTCAGCCAGAATAGCTAGACCAGGGTGCGATTGTCTAACATAGCTTCAGCATAAACTGTTAGGACCTTTCAGCTTGGAAGCAGTGTATGCTTGTATGGTGATTTTTTGCCCCAGAGGAGTTAGCACAGATTTCCTAAGCTCTTTGGCTCGCACTCTTAGAGTTAGTGTCAAAATTTTAAACTAACCTGTAAAATAAAAACCTTGGAGAGAGTCATCCTTTAAGCATTTCACTTCCATATTCTTTACTGAGTAAGCTTCGTTCCTTCTAATTCAGAAGCATACTGTGATAGAAGGCTAGACACTGTAATGAACAGGGTTAACATCTTGGACCAGCCTGGAATCACTCTGGACTCAGTGGGGAAAATGCCCACCGCTCTGTGGCTGGACTGGCTCCGTGAAGCATTGGAACCATCCTAGGGTCTCTTTTTCAATAATGCATGATACAGTTCCATGTAAATGTGTCATGGATCAGGAATATAATGAAGTGTAATTAACACTAAAATTGCATTGACCCGATTGTAATTGTTCTTTGAAGAATCAGACCAAACCCCACAGTCATGTAGCACCTCAAGATCATGTTGGTGCAAACCATGTGGTTGGCTTGTGCAAAAATATTAGTTCCTTCCACACGGATAGACCACTAACCAACGAAGATGACGTTAAGCAAGATTTTGGTCAGCCCTCAAAATTATGTAGCCTTTTCACAACCCCGGTTTGGGCTCCTAAAAACCATGTGACCTGCTAGAGACTTTTATCTTCTCATCAATTTCTACCAACAGTGATTGGTGAGATTTCAAGAATAAAATGCACCGTGGAAAAATTCAAACCCAGCAAAGCTGGCACAGGGTTAAAAGATGAGGCAAGACTTCCCTCCGGGAGATCAGGTTTCCCTTTGACGTGTGGTTCCAAATTCTTTAGGGCCAACAGAGAGCCCACCAATAATTGCCTGTAATTCAACACACACGACCAGCATCCCTGAAAGGCAAGCATCAGCCTCTCCATTATAGTCGGGGTCTCCATTTCTTATTGTGTTTTCTTTTCTTCTTTGATTTTTTCCCTCTGGAGCAGTAGTTTTTTTCAGGCAAGGTCTTGCTTGACATCCTAATATAAGTGTAATTTTATCTTCCCAGAGGCATTTCTTATTCTTCACCCCAATGACCATTTCATCGTCAGTGTGCTTAGAAGAGCCAAGCCCACCTCTGGGCATCTGTTCTATCTGAGATGAAGGCAAAATGTTTAGAGTGTCAGAATCAACAGTGCTACAGCATGTCCTGGGCTCACCACAGCTGACTGACCAGAACATTAAATATCTTCATTGTACATATTCAATTAATATTTCCATGTACCACAACTGGAAAATCAACCTATACAGATGTACATGATCTAATTGTTCCTGATCCCTCCTCATCAGTCCTCAAGAGATTCTTTCTGGTCTGAGCTGAGACAAGACAGGACAATGATCCTTCCAAGTGCATGCCAGATTGACCTTTGTCATTGTTTCTCAACTCCCCATCATAGATGGAGCACCTTCTAAGTGACTGTTGAAATAAATCAGTGCTAGTTACTATGAATGAAGGAGGGACAAAAGATGAAGAAATACCTACAAAACATTAAAGAAGTTCTCCACTAGGCAAGAAAAGAAGTGCTCACATACATGAAGCTAACATGTGTCATATGGCACCACGTTGAAAGTGTTATTACAGCTGGGAAGATGAACTGGTTCTGGCTGGGCAAGGGACTGAAAAGCTTTTGGAAACTGTGGATTTAACTGTGCCTTCAGGGTAGATAGAACATTTCAAAGCAGATGAGGGAGGTAAGATGACATTAGCACCAAGAAGCTCTACCAGTTAAAGACTTAGAGCTGAAAGAGCACAGCATATGATCAAGAGAAATAGCATGGAATGCAGTGGAGGGTGGAGTAGACAAGAGAAGTGGTGGAAAAAGCAGGAAATAAAGCTGGAGCCACAAAACAAGACTGAGTTCAAAAGGGCTTTGAATCCTGGAGTGAAGAGATCAGACAGCACAGAGGCTCAAGGACATTGTTAAAGCTGGGATGTGAAAGTTCTGGGTTATAAAAAGACCTTTCCGAAGTTGAGGGGCTGTGTGAAGAGAAGAAAGGTGATTAACTTGGAGCATGTTGATACAATAGTATTAAAGAATAAAATGGGCACAACTGGGTCAGTGGAAGTAAAGCGGAGAAGAGGCATGAGGGAGATACACCCCAGGGGGCTGACAAGGACCTTTTCCTTTTCTCTGAAAGAAGGAGTCAAGGCCAGTGATAAAAACACCTGGAATCTGGTGGTCACAAGGGCAGGTATCCAGGATGATAAGGAAGAGCAAGGGAAGAATGAGTGGTGAGAGATGGGGAGCAATATTTGAACACATAGAATTTAAGTCCCTTTTGAACATCCATGGGATGATTTTTAGGTGAGATACAGAGGTAAGTGTACACCCTGGAGGGAAGCTGGGGCTACAGGCAGGATTAGGAGTGGAAATCCAGCTGTGTAGGACATAACAGCACAGTCCCATGGAGGTAGGACCTTCTTCCCCAAAACTTGGGAGAAAATCCGGTAGCCACACAGCACCTGTCCGGTGACCTACTTTGGGTTTAGTGCTCACAGGGCTCCAATTCCAGGACATTGTATCCTGTCCAGCAGAACATAATGCAAACCCCCATGTTAAAATTTCTGGTAGCCACAATAAAATAAGGAAAAGAAATGTAGGAGATTAATTTTACTAATATTTTTATTTAACCCAATGCAGCCAAGTACTATCATTTTAACATGGGTTCTATTTCAAAGATGTGAATGCATAGTTTATATTCTGTCTTTTGCAGTGAGTCTTTGAGATCTGGTGTGTGTCTTGGCCCAGACCAGGCATCTTTGAAGGCATCAGCTTATTAGTCTCGTGATGTGCTATAGGGATAGTACTGAAGCACTCACAGATCGGGTGACCGTATAATTTGTCCTCCCACACTAGGGCACTTCTGAGAGATCAGGGTGTGGCACCAGCAGCGAATAGGGCCTGGCCAGGAAGTACCAGGAAAGGCGATGTCTCACACTAGGCCCCTTGAAGACCAGCTGCCGTGCCTCTCTTCTGCATTTCCAGCAACTTCAGCCTGGCAGAGAAAGGGCAAGGACAAGCACTGACTCATGTCCTGCGTTCGTCTCCTCTAAGGCACCAGGATGAGCCCCAGGATCAAGGAATTTGGCACTTCTCCATGCTCTGGTTCATCTCTCTAAAAAAAAAAAAAAAAAAAAAAAAAAAGGATAAACTAATAATATTCTCACCTAGTATGTACTGACCTGCTGTGTGTTCAGTTCCTGGACCAGCACTTGCTATGTAACAAACTAGATACTGGTATTTCTGTTATCCTTGTGAGGTTCAGAGAGGTTACCTAACTTGCCTAAAGTCACCCAGCAGAAAAAAACTGAAATCCACGTCTGGCAGAGAGGAAGTTCCAGGTTCTTAACCTTTGAACCATGTGGATAGTTTTCCTCCACGTCTGCCAAAGGATGCAGCTTTGGATGGCTGGAAAGACAGAGAGAAACAGTAGTGTGTTTTTGTGTTAACCAGATGGAGTGGCTTTGTCATTGTGCTTCTTGAAAAGAACACATAGCTCAGTCTGGCTGCTTGAGGCTTGATGGAAGCAAAGCCAACTTTCCATACAAACATGAAAGATGTTCAACTTTTAAATCATCAGCATTCAGTGCCTCTGTGTGTGTGTGTGTGTGTGTGTGTGTGTGTGTGTGTGTGTGTGTGTTCATCCACTTCCCAACATCCCTTTTCTCAAAGACAATGCACACAGCAATTAATAGATCTGGTATGAACCTGGATACTAAGCTACAGCTTAGCTCCTCGGCACTTCAAGGCCTGACAGTGATCATGGATGAGATTCTGTCTGCCTCATTTTAGAGGATGATCTAAGTTTGGGATGAACCTGCCAGCGATGATGTGAGAGAGAAACATGCTCATCGCCAGAGACCCTGGAGAGACTCTCCCCAGCTGTGAATGTGTCGCCCAGCAAAGTCCAATCCCAGGCATTGCAGCTGGGGTGGGTGTGCTGGCTGCCACGCATTCCAGCTGCTGTGTCAGGGCTGTGTGGCACATCTGCGAGTGTGGTAGGAAAATCACATAACAGTGCCACCTGTGCTTGTATTGGCACGAAATTCAAAGAGTTTGTACAAGGTGTGCGGTGGCCAGGGGCTCACAGCTGCAGCTAGTGCCCCTTCTTCCCTCCACATGTAGAGCCTGAGACAAAGTACCCAGTGGGCCAGTGCTGCTAGGGTTCCAAGCTGCCCTCCCACTGGAGGCCGAGCTTTGAGGTAGAAGCTACAGGCAATGAGGATACTTACCATCCTTTATAGGGAGGATGGTGAAGTGTCAGTGACAGGAGAGGCCTGTGGAGACTTTGAGTAGTGAAGGATACTTGGAAGACTAATGATTCCTAGGTGTGAAACTAGATAAAGATGCAGAATGTAGAGTTTCTTAGATTAAGGAAATTATGGCAGAGTATGGGGAGGGGAACTGTGGGTCTCGTCTAAGTGCAGTTTGACTTGACTCTGGCATTTAAAATGTGGTGCTTCAGAGGATGAAAAAGGCTATTTCTGGGGACATAAAATGAGTCATATAATATTCTAGTGGTGTTTATAGGGCTGTGAACAAATAGTGTGTGTGGTGATTTGGGTCTGTAAAGAATAAATGCAAGCCATTCATCTATGTATCTGTGTACATATCTATAAATACATGTATGTATGTTATCTATCTATCTACTCTATCTACCTATCTTATCTATCTATCTATCTATCTATCCATCTATTTCTACTTGTCCTATTTCCCCATCACTCTATCAATGTGATGAGCATATTGGCATAAGAAAATAATGCAACCCTAATAAAGAACATCATTTCTAAAGACCTCAGTACAGATGAATAAACTCTGTGACTTCCCTTTCGCCAACCCAGTGGTGGCAGCGAAGGGGTTAAAGGTGTAAGCTTCTGGGGAAGAGAAAGCAAGGGAGAATAAGTCTTAAAATGCAGAGCCACAGAAAATACACTGAAAGTACGACTTTCCCAACTCTGTCCCTCAGTGATGGGGAAGTGACAGCAACCTAAAACATGCGCACCACATCCACAGGGAGTCTTGGAGGTCTGGTTTGTGCTCCAGGGAAGGACAGTCATCTCTCTAGGACACAGAGCCTGAGTAAACAAGGGCCTGAATTTGGAGCTGCCTCCTCTATGAGCCTGGAAGTTCAATGTTCCCCTTCACCAGAGGCATGATCCCATCACATGATGACATCTGCAGGTTTAGTAGCAACAGGAGGAACTGGAAGTGGGTTAAAGTAAAGTAGGGTCTCATTCCACACAATCCCTGGTCCATCAGAGAAGATTAAATAATTAATTCAACAATGCACAAGTTGATAAAAACAGGATCACGATTTCCAGGCAACGGTGTAAGTTTTTCTGTGATTTTAGCCCATGACGTGCACTGAAATTGTCACTGTGTGCCTTGGAGCACAGATAGGGATCAAGTTTATTCAGCCTCCTTTGGGATGTGCCTTAAGACCAAGGTCTGCAACTCCCACGCCCTGGCAGGAGCCACTGTGACAGAGTGCCCGAGGTCCCATCATCTTCCGTGCAAAGCGGATGTCCTGGCTCAATCTCTTTGGGCCTCTTGTTTTCTGGAATTATTTGATGAAACACACTCCCAGTACAGCCAGACACTCTGACATGTGACTGAGCGTCACCAGCATTGGTTTGGGGGGAATCAATGCCCTGGTCTATGTAGACCCCAGTAGTTAGTGGCGGGCAGGGTGAGTAACACAGTTCCGCGTTTCCACTTTCTCCCTTCTTAGACCGTGCCGCATTCCGAAGGCAGTTAACAGCTTTCAGGAGCAAATGGCAGTGAGCAGTTCTTCAACTTTAAAGGAATCTTACATGGTCAGGATTGCAGGGTGAATGTGGGTTATTTTGAAAGTGTGTAACATCACTAGAGAAGCAAGCAGTTGGAAAGCTTTTGAAGGTCTTTATGAGATGTGATAAAAAAAAAAAAAATACAGTGAATGTTGTGGCTGAATGTTGCCCTCCAAAAGCAAGGCAGGCTCATAAAAATATCACCCTTCTTATTCACTGGATCAGGCCCTGTACTATTTTTGGTGCTTCTCGAAGTCAAAATGACCATGCAAGGTGACTATTTTGGATCAGTTCAGGACACTGAAACAGCCATGACAGCACAACTAACAACACTCACGAAAGAGGACTTGCAGAACTCTTTCCGAAAGTGGCTAAAACAATGGGATGATTGTGTTCAAGAAAAGAGGGAGTGCTTTGAGGGAAATTAGTGGTAATGTTTCTCTTACTGTAATAAGTTTTTAAAATTTAAACAGCCTCTGTAATTTTGATCATGCCTCATCTGTTTTGTCTTCCTTTCTCCTACTTTATGAGCATTTAAAGACACTGATCCCTCAGACTAGACCCTAGCTTTCACTCCAGGCACCATAACCCAGTAAGTTCAGGATAACCAAGCCCCACTGCTAACGTTAGGAAGGTGGCTCCTTCTGCTTCCTGGGCGGCAGCTGCCCCTGGAGACAGAAGTGGAAGAACTGAGCCCCGCAGAAGGACTATCATGAGGTGTTGATCTTCACAAGGAAGCTGTGGGTTTGTGATGTTCTGGAGATTTTGTGGCATCATGGGGTCAGTGATGTAATTCACGAGAATGTTCCCAAGATCAATTTAAAGTAAGACATGGGTGAGTCATCTCTCCTAACAGACGGCTTTTCTCCCTCTTGTTCACTCATCATCATCAAAGGGAAAATCATAAGTTAAGTATGCAAAACTTACATGGAGTCCTGTCTGCTTGTGCTTAGTTTCCCACTTGTGGGAGTCTCCCCTTACCGCTCATCCTCCTTAGTCAGTTGCAGGGAAACCCGTTATTTTCCTGCCAGCTGTCTTGCCTGCTCCTTGCTGGGAAGTTTTGCTCTCCCCTAGTGGAGGCCAAGTTCTGGCATCCCACACTGTCCTAACTGCACCTCCACTCAAACAGGGCCCAATGCCATGGAAGATTAACATGGATCAAGATGCCTTGATGACTTTTTCAGACTGGGAAATTATCTCAAATGTATTGTGACTCAGGGAGGAGCACACTGGAAGGAGAGCTGATGATGTGAAAACAGTCCAGGGCCAACTTGTTTTTCAAAGAGGAGGAAATATACGAACTCACCACTTCTTCAGGTGTATCATGAAGTTCAGTTATTCTTGCGTCATAACATGAAGTTCTATCATGGAACACATGAGGGAAGAATCCCTTTAAGAGCCACTTGTTTTATTGCAAACATAATTTAGGTGGACATACTAAATGACATTAATCGCTGTTGTATTCTCAGGCTAACATGCAACAAATGTTTGTCTTGAGTCCTTACTATACTTCTGACACCTGCTAGGTGCTGGGGATATAGTAGTGAACAAATAGATGAACATCCTTGACCTTGGGAGATTTATATTTAAGAGAAGTAAAAAATTGAGAAGTAAAATGATATTAAGAGCAGTAAAGAAAAATAAGACAAACAAGGTGCGACTGAGAGTGCAAGGATAGTGAAGGAGGGCCCCACCGAGGAAGAGACAGTGATCTGGCTGAGAAGGCTGCATTCTCAACCGGAGCAGCTGAGCCAGGGAATCCTGTAGACATCAGCACAAGGCAATCCCACAGGGGCAAGAGCTATAGCAGGTGCAAATGTCATGTGATATAGCCTCCATCACATGTCATGTGATATAGGGAGGCTTTTATTATTTTTGTAAAAGAATGTCACTGGAATTTTGGAGACACTGGCTTGGAGCTATAGATTATTTTGTATCTTAACCAAAGTCTTCCAATCCATGAACATGAGCTACCTTTCCATTGATTTAGGTCTTTAATTTCTTTCAGTAATATTTTGTAGGTTTATTGTAAGTCCTTTGCCTTCTTAGTTAACTTAATAAAGTTATTTTGCCTAGTAAAGTTATTCTTAAATATTTTGCTCTTTCAATGCTATTATAAATGGAATTGATTTTTAATTTTCTTTTGGGACCATTCAATGCAAGCATGCAGCAATGCAACTGAGTTTTGCATGTTAATTTTAGACATTACAACAGCCAAATTCATTGATTAGCTCTAAGGGGGAAATTTTGAAGATTCCTTAGGGGTTCTCTATATTCAGTAGGGTTTCTACACATGACATCTGTGAAGAGGGGTAATTTTACTTTCTGCCTTCCTATTTGGGTTCCTTGTATTTCTTTGTCTTGCCTACTTGCTCTGGCTACTACCTTCAGTACTGTGTTAAATATAAGTAATAAAAATGGGCATATTTGTCTCACTGTTAATCTCAGGGAGAAAGATTTCAATATTTCAGCCATCAGTACAATTCTATGAATAAGTTTTTCAGGGTTAGCTTTTATCATGATGGCAAAATTCCCTTCTATTTTTGGTTTATTGAATTTTGGGGTGAGGAATAAGTTTTGGAAATAGTGGCATTCATTGCACATCATTATGAACATAATTATTGCACTTAGCTGCATACTTAAAATGGTTAAAATGGCAAATTTTATGTTATGTATATTTTACTATACCAAAACAGTAATACTGGGATTGATCAAAACCAGTGCATGTTTAATAAAAATATTATTACACTAAAAGATATATTGACATTAATCCCTCTCAAAACATTCCCTGTTGCTTTGAACCAACCTACCACATCATTCTGGACACTTTCTGAAGCAGCTCTGCAAGTTCTTTTTTGTGAGTGTCTTGAGTTCTGTTTTTGTGGCTGCCCCGATGTCTGGAATCAATTCAAAATGTTAACAGCAGTTTCTGCTGACTAAAAACATGATGTGTCCTCATCTGCCTTATTCACCAGATATGGCACTATGAAACTTCTGACTTTTCCCCAAGGTCAAAATGACCATGAATGAAAAATGTCTTTTGTCAGTTTATTACATCAAGGCAGCCATGACAGCATGAAAGACATCCATGAAATAGCACTTCCAGCACTGCTTCAGAACGTAGAAAGAACAATGGGATAAGTGTGCTAAAAGTAAAGCTGAGCATTTTAAGGGGTACCAATGGCAATGTATCTTTTACTATAATAAATCTCTTTTTGTTTTTGTTTTTTGGTTTTTTGGTTTTTTGTTTTTTTGGGTTTTTTTCTGGTACCAGGAATTGGACTCCCTACCTTACAGTTGCCAGGCAGGTGCTGTGCTGCTGAGCTAAATCCCCAGCCCTATAATAAATCTTTTTAATTCAAGCATTGACCATATTTTATCACACATTGTTCAAGAAACCGAAAATCCCATTGAATTGGATTTTAAAAGAGCTAAATATTACAGTATGTGAATTATAACTCAATAAAGATACTTTAAAACCTTTTTTAAAAACCCAAATAAAAAATTATTGCAAATAAAGGTAAGAAATGATGATGTCACCAGGTGTGGTGGTCCACACCTGTAATCTTAGCACTCAGGTGGCTGAGACAGGAGGATCACAGTGAGTTTCAGGCTGGCCAGGGCTACATAGTGGGTTCAAGGACTGAACTACATAGTGAGATCCTGTCTCAAAGAAAGAAAGGGTGTCTTAGACAGAGGAGAATAAAGAAAGTGGCTGTTTTGAGTGAAACCAGTGTCATTTGATGATAGACTGGAGGGAGGACATGAGTGAAAGCAGCAAAGGATGATGTGTTCTTTAGTATAAAAGATCTGGAAATGGCAGCTACCAAAGAGGACTATGGGAGAAGAGATCTGGAAGGAAACACCAAGAGTCTGGCCTGAGACAGATGTGACTCAGGGACACCCTGGCAACTGGTTGCTCCCTGTGGGCACAAGGCTATCATGAAGTGTGACCCCCACTCCCACCTCTCCTAGAACACAACTCAAAGGTAGTGATGTGGAAGTTGAGAGCAATAACAAAGAATGTCCAGATACTGAGAATGGTTTTTGCTTTTTCTATAAATACAAAGAGCAAAGACCACTTAACTATGGGAAGTGCCTAAAATAAGTCTCTGTGCCTCCCTAGAAGTTTGCATGCAATAGGTGTATGGTAAGTGTTACTGGTTCATTGTGAAACATTTCTGATGAAAATGGTCCAGTCTTCTCCCCTGTAGATTTGAAAAGTCAATAGACTCTAATTTTCCTCTGGGGAATTATTGTGTCCCTACCTTGACTCAAGGGTCTCTTAGATTCCTTTTCAGCCTTACATTTTGAAATGTTCTGGTGCCTTCTGTTGATAGCTGTACCTCGGGAAAACACCCAGTTTCATTTGGATGACAACTAAAGACTAATTTTCATTAGTCCAAGTGTGGCTCCAGCATCTCGGGTGAACGTTGACATCACTCTGCCCAGGGAAGATGAAGCTCATCCTAGACAGACAGAGCTGAAATCATTTGAGAAATTTAGCTCCTCTTTCTGTTGAATGATACCAGTAGAGAGTTACTTAGAAAGTTCATTCTAACACGATGCCCAAAATTGTAAAACCAGAAAGACCAGGATCTGCACGGTCTTATGCCTGATGGGAAAGAAGAGACAGAACCAGCTCTTTCACTCATTTTCATTTTTCATGCACTTCCTATGGGGCGGAAGCCTAACTACGTGTGGTCACAAAACCCAGTACTGAAACAGCCGTCCTCTTTCATCTATGTCCCCACATGCTGAACACTGGATAGTGTGTGTGTTTTTAATACTACTCTCTCTTCCAGGGAGTTCAGAACACACGCGTTCTTTTTTAACTCCTACCAGACCCTGAGATCTGCCAGCCAGAGAGACCATAATGAAAGAAGTTTGGAAAGGTCAGGGGAAAAGGTGGTGAGCAACAGCCTACAATCAGGAAGCATGGGTCTCCCGGGTCAGCCCTTAACTCACTCATACTCAGACATGGGGCTCCATGACCTCTCTGTATATTGGTTTTGTTACCCGTAAAACACAGATAGTAACACTTGCAAAGCAGACACTGAATGGAATGCATTTTGTGATCTCTGGAGAAAAGGGAGCCTGTTAACATATGCTAACAATGTGTTATTTTGGGGCAGGCCTGCAGCCATAGCCACCAGAGTTGTTTGGGGGAGCTCTGCCAAGAGCAGCCAGATCACTCCAGCCTCCAATCCTCATCTCTGGGGCCAGCTGGCATGAGATAAAGAGCCACTCTGCCCAGCTGTCCATGCCCTGCTTACCCACAGGCCTAAATTCAGGGTTCTCAATGCTGATTGCCACTGCAACTCACCACGTGGGTCTAAGAATAGACCCAGTTCCCAATAGGTGCGTGTCTTCAGGAAGAGCTATCAGATCACCCATTTGTGGGATGAAGCAGTAAAGGTTGGGTCCTTCAAGGAAAATGATTTTGCTCTGGAATACAGATTTCATACTTATACCTCATGTAGTGGGTGAAGAGGGTTTGTGGTTTGCTTGAGTCTTAAGAAAAAAGAAGTTGGCAATGAAATGAACTGAGGACTGGGCTATCCACTTCTTGCTCTGTGAGGTTTGAGCTTCATGGTGCCCAAAGCCAAAGAAAGCTCCCTAGAAGATGAGGAAGATGGAGGAGGTCATGTAGTCAGGAACCGCCTTTGTTATCTCTGAAAGTCACACGGTGGCCTCTGAACGTCGGGTTGCACTTTTGAGGAAGCCACAGGGATGTTCTTGGGGAACTGGGGTTGATCTCTGCAGCCCCATCAGGTTCCTTTTCCTAAACCCCTTTCTTCCTTCGTTTCTCCATCCCCTCTCTCAAACGTTCTTGCCTCCCAAAATATTTTCCAGAGAGGAAATCAGGGCAGCAAAGATATTGAAGAGCTCAACTCTTTCCTGATAGACTCAGAATGTGAAAGGGAAACAGTCTAGAGTGCAACAATGCCCACACCACAGCATAAATTTGAAGTTGACATTTCGATACCACCGCCAGGGCGGCACAGGCAGAGAAGGAGACAGAGAGCAGAGAGAGATACTCAGAGAATGCCAGGCACCACTCCCACATCCTCATGTGAAGCTGACCCTGAGCCACCACCCCGTCTCACAGGACCCCTTCCCCACTCCACATTTGTATCCCAAATGCACACAGAGAGTCCGGGGAACCACCCCACATGTGGGGCAAGAAGGGTATGGTGCTGTTTTCTGGTTATGGAAACCATCTTGGAGAGTCTGTCAGGAAGGTGTGGAGCCCAGCAGCTCCCATCTGCGCAGAGCTTCTCAGCAAGAGGAAATGGATTTGAATATCAGCATGAAGAATTTAAGATAGATGCAGGAAGACTCTCCAGACAAAAAGACTATTCAGCCCTGTGAGACATTCCTGCCTGTGGGATAAGCCCTGCTCTTTGAAGGTCTGGCAATAAGTAAAGGTTCTATCATCTACCAAAGCAGATGATCAGCAAGATCCCTTCCAGGGTGGAGGCTACCTCATCATCTAATTTTAGCAATTCCTCTTGGCAAAGGATGGGTTTCCCCTTGTCTTTCGGCTATCTGGGGTTCCACACATCATCTCTATGCTTCCTTTGAAGTTGGCAGTTCTGCAAGCTCAAGGCTAGATATGCAACAGGAACCATTGGCCACCCTATCTCACTGCAGCAAGAAAAAGCCTATTTTTTATTGTGAAATGGAGCTACCAAGTTTGAAATTAAAAATGGGCTGTCAAGTTTGGGTGTCACACTCAGAAATGATCATTTTGTCAACTCCCACCCAATATTCTGTCTTTCTTTGCAGGGGGTAGGATGCTTAAACCATGACTTTATTTCCACTGCTCATTTGAAGCCTTCATTCATATTTTTAACTCATTATAAATGAATGCAATTTAAGCCTATCGCACAATGACAGCAAGTGGCTGGAACGCTGTGAGAATGTGTTTCCCATTGTGGAAACTACAAGTTAGTCATTTTCTTCTCCCAGGGAAATTTCTTCACTTTGGCTCAGGGAATTTTTTGAAAAAGAAATCATAAGTTCCAAATTACTTTTTCATCTCAAAAGTTAGCCCTATGGAAAATGTGGCAATGTTTCTGAATTTTTTGCAAAATATTGTGATAATATCTGTGTTCTATTGCTAAAGAGCTAAACCCTTACTGTATTTTTTTAAAATCAGGGGTTGGGTGGTGGTGGTGGTAGTGGTGGTGGTGTTGATGGTGTGTGTGTGTGTGTGTGTGTGTGTGTGTGTGTGTGTTATTTTTAACCTCCTAGGCTCACAGTGTAAAGAAAAGTGATAAGCTCAAGGGGAAAGTTGTACTTCAGAAATGCCTAAGTTTCTAGATCGTTTCCAGCCACCCTTTCTGTAACAGATCTTTGTGAAAGTAACTTTTTTCCACTGACAGTTTCAATAAGAGATCTGTTATAAAGTACAGTAGAGGTGCACGGCAGCGGGAGGGGAAAGAGCTTGGTATTCTTTTTCAAGCTGGCTATCATTTAAGAAGTGTCAACATTGTTCCAGGAACTCTGCTTTTAGGCCAAAGATTCCACCCTCATCTTTGCCTTCCCCGCAGCCCCCAGCTTGTGCTCTGACTTCATAAACACGTCTACAGAGTTTGAGAAAGAGCTGCTAAGGGTCAGACGCATGACAGAGCAGGCTCTGTGGGAGGGCGTCTGCATCTTCGTCTCCTGGAACCAACCGGAGCCTCAGACCCCAGCCCCACGTCAATAGCCTCCCTTGCTATTGGTTGTTTCTTCTGCATAAGGTCGTGAGCTTCTTTCACTTCCCTTTCCTTGAACTCCCTTCCTCCTCCCCTTGAACATACAGGTGTCACCCCTGAGCTGCACAGCCGGGCTGAACAATGACACAAGACTCACACCTACTTATGTGGGGCCTGCCGTGTGGGAGAGCGCCAAGATGGCGGCAACGGGGGGAGAATTCCCGCCGCATGAGGTAGAGAGTCCATGTCCGTGGCAATGTGGTCCTCCCAAGCCTGAGATGCCATTCAGCCACACTCCTACGGGCAGCAGCAGTCAAATTCAATGTTCTTCAGGTATTTGAAAGCAGACCAGGAGCTTCAGCTCAGTCTCTCTGTGCTCAAAATTCTGAAATGCTTTTCTATCCTCAATGGAAGACAGAGGTATTCTAAAAGTAGGAATATGGATACATGAAATCTAGTTTCCTGTGCATCCAAAGAGGCACCTATACCTACCCACACGTATCCATTCCAAGAAGCAGAGAAGCTGTAGAAAGCAGAGCAGAGAGAGGGCCTTGCTGTACACCCCATGTTGATAGAGGATAACAAGTAAATTAAAGCACTTAAATCTCAACTTAGTCCCCAGGAAGGAACAATCTTTATTCCAAGGTCAAAACTCAGAGTTCTAATGTTTTCTCTTAAAATTGGGGAAATATATTAACGCATTACTCACTCTATAGTTTTTAATTTACCCTAAGTAATGAGAAATTAGTTCTCAGGTCATTAGGTCCCACCCTTTGTGCGAGAGCTGGAAGGGCGGAAAGTGTCCCGGGAAGGGTGGGCCATGATGCGCAGGGGCTGGGGGATGTGCTGGCCTCACGAGGTGCCTCCCGCCCTGATTCTCAAGCAGCAGCCCCTGCCCCTCGCCTCCCCCTGCGCTGCACAACCAGCTTCCAACCCATTGTTGACTTCGGCCACCGGTCAAGTTTCCTTCCAAGTCCCCAGACCATGGTGCTGGTGCGGAGCTGAGTCATGCTTTCCTGGACTTCCTGCCACCCGGGAGTTACAAGTCACAGTTCCAGTCAGGAAACCAAATTCACCGCCCCAGAATTTGGCCATGGTCTCCGATGATGACGGAGAACAGAGGTGCCCAGTCAATATTTAGGCTGGGAGATAATTCCCCTTTTCTTATGTCAGTTTGCATCTACTGACTGGTTTAACTACAAATATAAAAGCCCATATGTGTGCACAAGAGCTTAAAATACAAAATCCTTCATTATATCCTCACCAATGGAAGAAGTGCATCTATCATTTCATTGGGATAGTTAACATCTTAGGTAAACACTCTATCCTTTTTCCAACCTTATAAAATGTCTGCAAAGATTATTAAGGTTTTAGGAAAAACTTGCATGGCTGTTCCCAATCAAGAAAATATTGCTCTTCCTGGATGTTCTGCTACTGTTGAATGATCCAGTGATTGTCAAACTGAGCTCCCCACCAAGTCACAACTTTTATTTTCTTCTTCTCCTTTTTCTGAGAGGTGATGCCGTCACTTCTGTTGCTAATAGGACCTTTGAGACCATTCTATATGTTGCCAAGAGCATGACTTTCAACAAAACCACTTGCCCCACTTCAAAGAGTAGGAGAAAAATAGGCTTTTAGAAAAATTACTGAGAGGCAATCTCAGTGGGTGATGTGGAAGAAATTAAACCACTGCATTTCTTCCAGACTTTTCCCACATTCCTTAGCGATAGTGTGTGTGTGTATGTGTGTGTGTCTCTGTCTGTCTGTCTGTCTAGGA